CACACCCAAGTGAGCCTGTCAGGTCAGGATTACATCACAGCCCCCCAGGGCTGGACTGCTTCCCCAGCCATTGGACAACTTCCAGGTTGTGGAACAGGACTGTTAGGCATAGCTGGTTTGGCCCAAGGACTGACAGCAAAGTTGGCATGTACCAGATGAAACCTGTGATCATCCTAAAATCTAATTCTAGCCTCCCATTAGGAAATCAGAATGCATTCTTTTTTCGGCCTCTCTTGGAAAGTTCATCTCAGTGCGTTTCTTCTGTTCTGTGCCACGCGTTCCATGCTAACAGCCCTCCCCCACCCAGGGTCCAGCCAGCCTCTTGCTTGCTAAGACACAGGAATCCCCCTGGCTTTCGTCCTTGACTGCATTGCAGACCCTTGCCTGTGCACCTGCCATGCAGCTCCTTCTTCTCTCACTTACTCAAATTACAGTGCTTTTTGTCTCTGCTTTTCCTCCAAACCCTCTAGTGCTACATGCTCCTCCCTGCCCACCCCACCCCACCCCACCCCACCCCCACCAGGCCCCTCACAGTCCTGGGTGGGCTTCATAGTCAAGGGGAATTTTATTTTTGACCTTTTGAAGAATGTTGCTTCAATTGCACCCTGACTGAGAGGCAGGGTAGGCAGATCCCTGGTAAAGTACCGGGGCTTCCTCGGTAGGTAATTCTTGCCCCAGCCCTGAGCCTGTGCACATCTGCCAGCAGACACGGCTTTGCTTCGCTTGTGCCCACCACAACGAGGGGTAACCTAGTCCTGAACGGAGACTGCCTTGGGCCAGCTGTGGAGCTAGTTTGGGGATCAGAGCACATGACACAGTTTTTCTATGAAGAAAGGTACGAGCCCCTTACCCACAGCACTTGGGTTTACAGGTGATACTGTCCCGAGCTTGTAGACAGATCATCCTCCTGCCCTCGGTCAGCTCAGGGGCCGCGTTCTCTCTTTGGACATGGGTAAGTGTCAAGAATAGGCAGTGATGGGGGCTGGTCTGTTGGTCTGTATACCCTTGTGGACATTGTCAAATGACTACCGATAATACATCATTTACTATTTGATGTCCAGCACTATTCTAAGTGTGAGGTAGATAGAGAAAGAGTGTGAATTTAGATACTAACGTTTGCATTTCACAGATGAAAAAAAAAAACTGAGTGTTTGCCCAAAGTCACACAACTTGTAAGTGGTGAAGCTGCGGTTCAGCCCAGGAGGACTGGCTCTGTAGTCCATGTTTGCAAGCACTATGCTATATTGCTTTGTGTATATTTATGTGTTTCACTGATCTAATTCCTGAGCCCTTATCCCTGCTCCAAGAAGTAATTTGCTTCATTTTAATTTAAAGCAAAGATGAAAACAACCTTAATCCACTGCCCAAACCATCTTCCCCTGCAGGGAAAAGGGTACTTTCTGAATGGATGGAGACCAAGAGAGTTGCTTTGAGCCAAAGCTGCCTTGCAGTTTAGCTGAGGCAGGATTTACAAATGGCGTGAACAGTGCCTGCATTAGCCGATGGCATAGAGTGCTGAATGCTAGTAGAAGAGATAAAATCAGACATATGTTTGGACATAAATGTTCTCTCTCCCTCTCTCCTCTTTCCTCTAATTTTAAGCCCCTGCTGCTTTGTTGCAGTGAAATGGCGGCTCCTTAATTGTGGGCTCTGGCCCCCTAAGGTAGAAGCCCGGGGTGAGGATGGCCAGCTCAGTCCTCTGCCAGTCTCTCTACCCATCACCACTGAAGGAAGCCAGAGGCTCTGGGCTGTGGCCCTGGTCCCTGCCAACAATAGGAATTTTGTTGCAGGGTCTCTGTGGATGTTGTTCTGCCTGGTTGCTGCCCTCAGTACATGGTAAAGAACTGTGAAAAAGTGAATGTCTCCAAGTCTTGGAAACTAGCCTGTCTGCTTCTTCCTTCACTAAGAGGGTGCAGTGTTACCCCGAAGGGTGATCAAAAGGCCTGGTGCAGAATAGGGCAGTGGCACCTCCTGAGCCAATGCTGGAGTAGACAGAGTAGAGGGGAGGAGTTAAGGAGACTCCGCCCCCACCCCACCTTCTGCAGGAGCTGCTACACTGTAGGGAACTTCTCAGGTGTGTACTCTGAGACGTCTGTCCATCTCCCTCTCTGCAAAGCTGCTACGGCTGAGTCTGGGAGGAAGCCAGAGTCGCTTCCTCACTGTAAACACCCCATCTCAGCTGCTTCACCCTGCCTCCTGTAGCTGTCACCCTCTGAGGGATCCTGCAGCTTGTCTGCCATTGTGCCAAAAATCATGCAGCTGTTTCGTTGCAGTCCTGAGACTCCAGGCCCTCAGCGAGCACACGGGGCCCTTGGGCCAGCTGCAAAGCCCTGTGGGCAGAATTCTGAGCCGGCCTTGCGGGGCAGCCGAGCTGGTTCGGAGGAAGATAGAGCAGCCAGCTCTGACAGGAAGAAGAGAACACAGAACTGTCTGTAGGGAGGCTCCGTGTTCACTGAGCATTGGCAACAAAAGGAATACGTTCCTGAGAGCCAGTAAGATCCTGCGTTCCAGAAAGCACATTTGATTTGGGAGCCAAGAGACCCATGCCCTAGGCCTACCTCTTCCACTTAAGTAGCAATGTGACCTTGGACATGTATTTCAGTTTCTCTGGGGATCAGTTTCCTTAGCTGCAAAATGTAAAGAGCTCAAATTAAATGATTTTTCATGGCTGTAAAGAAATTCTATAATGAAAACTCTTGGCCTGCATATAATCAGCAGCAGAGTCTTTTCCTCTGACTGCCCCCCCAACCCCACGCGCGCGCGCGCGCCTGCCCCCAAGAGCCACCAACCCCTGTTCCATTCCCAGGGCCTGAGGACGCGTCACTAACGTGGTGCTCACTGGACTCCTCTCTGAGCAGCTTTCCCAGGTCCCTGCTACAGAGGAGGAGACACCCAGCATCAGGGTAAAGATAGTTAACTGCTGCCAAAGCCGCAGCCGTGCCCAGATCAAAGGCGAGGCGCGCGGAGCTAAGGAATAGCCGCAAGGAGCCTTAGACCTGTGCACCGTATTTCCTGTCTCCTCCAGTTTCCTTCTGGAAAGCGCCTCTCCTTCAGATCCCCAGACCTGAACAGGCTCAGCCCCGACTCTCCCTTCCAGACCCTTGTTTAGCCACAGACCAGGATCCTGCACAATTCCCTGACTGCCCAAATAGCTGTCAAACACGCAGGGGCCTTCGGAAACTGCCGCCCCCTCCTCTGTTTTGGAAACAGCGACTTGCTCTACAGTCGCCTCTGAGTGTATCCCCGGGAAGCTGTTCTGACAGCCTGACTGTGTCTTCCCGCACTAGAAAAGGGAGTGATTTCTTGCTCGTTCAGCTGGTCCTAGCCAAGTCCCACCCTTGGCTCTGCTGTAGTTTCCTTTCTTTCTCGTGCGGGTAGAATGGTCAAGGAAAGGCAGAGGGAACATATTGTGGGGTCTGGAAACATGAGTGACAGTTCGTTCTTAAGTGTGTGCTCATGCGTATGTGCCCCCAGAGACACTGACACCCAGAAAGGATCTAGATGCCTAGGATGATTCGAATTGGCCATTTCTTCGCCAACTGCTGCAAAGTGCCACCTGCCTCTCTCTCCTCCTCAGTGCCAGAGAGATCACACCCACTCAGCCCCAGTTCCCTGCATTAGTATAAATACTAGCACTGAGGAAACACGGGGCCGCAGCTCACGCAGCCTCCCGCAAGCATCAGGAGACAGACTCCCACCAGCACGAAGGTGTGTTTGGCTCCTTAACACCCTGAGAATCAAAGCAGCCCTGCCTGTGGGAAATCGAAGCCAAACTGCATTATTGCAGACCTCTTAAATCCAGCCCCCCCGGGATCTTGTGCAGCGCTGGTGCTGCCTGACCAGCGGCTTCCACCGACGTGGCGGTTACCTTGTGGCCAGGTCTCAGGGGCGAGGCTGACCCATTTCCCCGGCTTTCCCGGGGCACAGGGAAGGTGGTTATACCCCCAACAAAGGCAGGGACTAACACACTTAGCTTGTGGAAGGTGCACTGGAATCAGGGTGCTTTTATTTAAGCTAGGAAAGGTTTTTTGACAGCTTTAGCATTTCCCCATACTTTTAAAAAATAGATAACATTTGTCTCCCCCCTCCCCCATCACACTGCTCCCCTCCCCACCACCCTACCCTCCCCCCCTTTTTTTTTTCTTCAAGTAGAAATAACTTGGTCAATGCGCCTAAGAATCTATAGGCTCAGGGTCTTATTCAATTTAACCCTTTGGGGACAGGGAATTAAAAATTGAACAATATTTATTAAAATACAAAAATACACTTTACAATCAGTGTTCTTTTTGTTGGCATCCCCCCCCCAACCCCTACCACCCCCTTTCAAATCTGAACCCTTGAATCCCTTTTAAAGCTAGAATAACAACTGACAGAAGTTACATTACATGGACCAGTATAACAGAGATCTCCATCTCCCCCACCCACAGCCACCCTCTCCCTTCCCCTTCCACATCCTCCTCGGCTAGGCATGGGGGAGGGCAGCTCCCCCCCCCCCCCCGGCCCCCATGCAGCAGGACTCCATGCAGAACTCACTCATGTGTGCCTGTGTCACTTCTGTTTAAACTGTGGCTCCCACATCTTCCATGACCCAGCCAGGTTAGGAAAGGCTTCCTCACTCTCAGTGAGCCTGCGCCCTTCTAGTCTTGCCTTTTCCTGCTCCACTCGTGTTCTGCCCCTACCCCATCACCACTACCAGTTGGCATCAGCTGTAATAATCCCTAATGAATCAGCATTTAGAATAGTCACCAAACCCCAAGCCTGAGAAAAGCTTCCACTCCCCCAAGCTCCCCACTCCCACCCAGCCTCTCCTCCCTCACCGTCTTCAAACAAAACCTATTTGAAAAATCATAAAATGCCATCGTTGTCTACAATCATTTGTCAGATACCTAGAACAACAGGTGGACCTGGCACAATGCTAATTTATAGCCTCCGAGACAGTCCGCCTCCCTGCTGCTGCTCTCCCCCTCCCCCTCCCCCACCCCGCCTCCCTGCCTGGCGCCGCACCCCCTTGAGGGGCCGCCTCCTTCTCCTGGGAAACCCTGAATAGACACATGCCTTGCAGAGTGGGTTCAGCCCCACTGCAGGAATCTGGTGCAATGTGCAAGCATCTGACAGCTCCCTTCCTCCCCTGCTCGGGAAGCACTCCATCAGACACATGGTCCCCGGCACAACCCCCGGAGACCTGGCGCGCGCACGGACCGACACTCAGCCCCTCGAAGGATTCATTTGAAAAATCTGGTGGTTTTCCTGTTTGCACTACAGCTACAGATCTATCGTCCCCTTGGCCTCTGAAGAGAAAAATATTATTGCCTCTCAACATTTTGGCAGAGTACAAATTCACGGAGCTTTTTTCAGAATTTTTTTTTTAAATAAGATAATCTGCAAAGACAGCTCTCGGCTTAAGAAAGATGTCTGTAGAAACGGGTACTCCTGTATCCTATGAAGCATCTTCTAAAAAAAGGACAGGTTCAGTCCATCCCATCCCGCCTGTTCCCTCCGCAGCCCACACCCTACCCCTTTAGGGATGCTAATTGTTGGTGTTTTAGTTTTACCTTAGCAGGTTCAACCTCTTACCAGAAACCTTTTCTGGCAGTAGAGCAAAGGTACATGGGGCGCGTACCCCACAACATTCCCAAGATTCCCCTCCCGCCCCCTTTAAATAGAACTTACAAGTTAGAAAATAGTTTTGTTTTGATTTTTTTCTTTTTAAATTTTAATATAATCTGTTTTTTTTTACCAGCCCATAGATTTAATATATAAGCATATACAAGAAAAAGTCTCTCCCCACTCTGTACAAAAGTTGCTGTCTCGTGTGTGTGTGTGTGTATGTGTGTGTGTGGTGTGTGTGTGCATTCTATTGCGTTTAAAGTTTTTGAGGGGAGGGGGCATCATATTTGAGTTTCCTGTACCTTGTCCTTGGTATGGGTCTGAATTATATAAGGTTCAGAGATAGTGGTGACTGTGGGGTGCAGAGAGTTCCCCAGGCTGTTTTCTGTCCAGTGGGCCCCATGTGCTGGTTTGTAGGTGTTGTAGTTAATATGGTCATGAATTGTGGGCAGCACTACTGCCCCCTCACCTGATACACTGGCTGGAGCCGCTGTTGCCGCCGCCGAAGCCGCCGCCGGGATGTCTTCGTCCACCTGGATAATCTCAACTGTCCTGGCGGCCGTGACGGTACTCCGCTGCTGGTGCCGCTTCCGGAGCTTGTAGAAGACAATCAACATGGCGGCAGCCAGCAGAGTCACTGCCACAAAGCAACCAATGATGATCTTGGTGGTCTTCATGACTTCATCCAGGCTGGTCTGCATCTTGTCAGTGGTGTCTGTCGCGGGTACCGCCACCTGCTTGGGCACACGGGTGGTCTGAATGAGCACCGTGGTAGAGGTGGTATATGCCGGCTGGTAGCCAGTGGACGTGGTGGGCACAGGCTTGTACTTCCTCGTGGTGTCCTCAGGCGAGATCTCCGTGGTCTCCACTGTGACTGTGGTGAAGAAACTGTAGTTGGAGGTGTTGAGCTCGGCCGTGCTCACGTTGAGGTAGGCCGAGGCGTTGGAGTTGCCAGCCACGTTGGTCACCATGCATGTGTATACCCCCGTGTCTGAGAGCAGCACGTGGGAGAAGTTCAAGGTGCCGTCGTTGAGGACAGAGATGCGCGGGTGGCGGGAGGCGTGGCTGAGCACTGTCCCATTGGGCAGCAGCCACTTCACCGAGGACATGGGGGGAGTCCGACACTTGAGTTCCGCCATCCGACTCTCAGAGATGTTGAGGTCCCGAGGCGCGTCCATGATGAAGGGGGCAGAGCACTGGAAGGAGGCCTGGTCCACCTCCACCAGGTAGCGGCCTCGCATGTGCATGGGAGCGTGACAGCGGCCGCAGCACGTGGAGTTGGTGGGTATATACTCCCGAAGCCACCAGGCCAGCCACAGGATGTCGCAGTCACAGTTCCAGGGATTGTGGTGTAAGTGCAACTCCACCAGGTACCTCAGTGGGCTGAAGAGGTCGTGGGGCAGAGAGGAGAGGTTGTTGTGAGCCAGGTTGAGTTCCACAAGCGAGGCCAGCCCGTCGAAAGCATTCCGCTCAATCAGGCTCACCTGCGAGTTCATGACCCACAGCTTCTTGAGGGAGCTCAGGCCATGGAAGGATCCAGGCCTGATCTCAGGAAAGTGGTTCCCTGACATCTCCAGCTCCTCCAGCCCCACCAGGGGGGTGAGGTTGGGCATATCTTTAATGTTGCACATACCCAAGTTCAGGTACTTGAGGTTGAAGAGCCCCTCAAAGGCGCCCTCAGAGATATACTCCAGCTTCTTGAGCTCCCCCAAGTCCAGGCGCATGAGGGAGGGCACTCGGTTGAAGGCATAGGAGGGGATGCTTTCTATAGGGTTGTTGCGAAGCCAGAGCTCCCGCAGTTTGGACAGGTATTCGAAGGCCCCGCTGGGGATGACAGTCAGCCAGTTGTCGAACAGCTCCAGGGTGTTGAGGCTGGCCAGGCCGTTGAAGGCCCCCACCTCGATCTGCCGGATGGAGTTCCTGCCCAGCTGCAGGACCTCCAGGTGGTGGAGGTGTCGGAAGGTGTCGGCCTGGATCATCTGGATATTGTTTTCCATGAGGTTGAGGTACCGGGTGTTGGAGGGGATGCCCTGTGGGACCTCGGAGAGGCCCCGGCGGGTGCACACCACCTTGCTGAACTGGTTACTGCACGAGCAGACGGAGGGGCAGTTCTGGGGCCCGGCCGAGGCGGCAGCAGCGATGGCTGCACACAGAATCCACACTTGTGCCGTGAGGTAGACGACGGGGAGCAGGACGGCATTCCAGGTGTGGTGCACAGTTACCTGCCACAAGAGCTTCATGGTGTGGCACGTTCATAATTCACCATCGCCTGGGATTTTGGCTCGGAAAGGAGAACCAGCCCTACCCCGGCTTAAGTGAGCTAGGAGCTCCTCTTTCCATCTGAAGAAGGAGGTGGGGAGGGGGCGATTAGAGACGGAGCGCGGATCGGCCGCAAAACCCCTGCCCAAACTAGAGAGCGGCCCCCTCCTCCAGCAGTCCACCCTCGAGGCCAGCCCCCTGCCGGCTAAGACTTTCTACCCCACAGTGCCACCATCCCCACCCAGTTCGCCGTCACCTACCTCGGAAGGAAGGCAGGAGAGAAGTGGCGTGCTGTCCTTAAGCTTTCTCCACGGGAGCCGGGCACATCGTTCCCATTCTGACTTCTTAGTTTTAATTAACAAAAGGGGGAAGTGGTGGGGGTGGGGAGGGCACAGGAGAGGGGAGGGGAGGGGAGGGGAGGGGTGGGGGAGACAAAATGGCTTCTAGTAAATCCGGAGCCAGAGACGGCAAAGCCGTGGAGTTGAGGCGCGCCAGGGAGAACCCAGGCCCGGCGGGCTATGCAGGTGCATGCCCCCCCCTCGGCCCGAGGAGCGGCGCCACCAGCGCTTCCCTGCTTTGTCCTTGGACCCTGGCACCGGCTCTCTCCATCCACGGGGGAAGCTGCTTCATCGCCAAAGTGTGCCTCCAGCGCCCCCAGCCCGCGCCCTGGGCCGCCGCCGGAGGGGGTGCGGGGGCGCCCGAAGCCGCCCAGGCCGCGCTCGCTGCCGCCGCTTACTGCTGCTGCTGCTGCTGCGCTCCGCTCTCCGTCGCCGGCCGCCCAGGTCGGCGGCAGCTGATTGCAGTCGTGAGCTCGCGGGGCTGCGAGAGTTAAGAGGAGGTGTTCGCGGCGCCTTCTCCCTCCCCAGACACACACCCCCTTTCTCCTGGCCTTCTCGGAAGGGTTAAGAAGACAAAAACTGGGCTGAGTTCTCCAGTCCGCCGTCTGCTGGCGCGAGGAGCAGTAATCCGTCCAGCACCTGAGGGGCAGCGGCGCCGCGGCTGCGCCGGGACCAGGTCCGCGGGCCGGCGAAGAGCTGGGCTCCCGCGGTCGCGCCCGCTCCGCAGGCCCCTTCGGAGAGTCCGGGGGCGGGCGCGGGTCCGGCGGCGACGACGGCCGCCGCAGCCCCCGGCGGCGCGCAACCGCCCGCCGCTGCCGGGCCCCCGGCGCGCCGCCGGCTCTGGCTTTGTGCAGAGGGGGCGAGTTCGCGGCGCGGGCTCCCGGCGCCTTCAGTGGCTGCGCTGTCCGCGCACTGCTGCAGCGGCCCGAGCGCTGGCGGCGGCGGCGGCGGCGGCGTGAGCAGCGGGGGTCGCGGCTGCGGGAAGCGCTCCCGGGCCCGGGAACATGGTCCCCGCTGGCTAGCGGCGGCGGCAGCGGGGGCCCCGCTCTGGGCGCCCACCGTCTCCTCCTCGCGCCGGGCTCGCGGTGTTGCAGGCGGCAGCCACGCAGACTGCTCTCTCATCCTTTTGTCCTTCAGTCAGAACGTGAATGTACTGCTGACGCATACTGTTCTGGGGAGAAGATTAGCGTGATGCGGAGCTGTGTGCATTAACACCGCTCCCGCCGCCGCCGCCGCCGCCTGCCCGCGAGGGGTTAACGCGGCGCCTTCCAGCGCCGCGCGCCCGCGCAGCCCCGCGCCCCGCGCCCGCTCGGTCCGCCCGCTGCTTCCTTTCTACCCCCTCCTCCCTCTCCCCCTTCCCCCCGCCCGGGGCCGCTGCCTCCCCGCCCCCTCTGGACGCACGGAGCGGGCTGGGCGAGCGGGCGAGTCGGAGTGAGCGTCAAGTGCGGGCCCGCGCGAGTTGCAGGCGTTCGCAGCTATTTTGGGCTAGCCGAGAGCGCGGCTGAGCGGCCGCTGATAGGCTGGGCGGCCGTGGGGCTGCGGCGGGAGAGCGCGCCCTCCGGCCGGCTCCCGGCCGCCCAGCGCCCCCTGGCTCCGGGGCGGCGGGCTCAGGCGGGCCCGCCAGCCCGCGGCCGGGCTGCGGCAGTTGGCCTGCCTCCCTCCGGGACCGCATCGTCCTCACCCCGCGCAACGCTGTCGGGGCGCGTAGTCGCGCAGCGCCGTTCAGGCGCTCGAACTCGGACTTCGGGGCTGCATGGCCGGGCGCGGGGCCGCGCGGAGCCGGAGACCCAGCGCCTGGGCTTGACTGCTGTACCGATGTCTGTCCTATCTCCCTCTCACCAGTTCCTCATCTTCTGGGCTCTAACTAGGGCTTTTAATGATAGCTTTCTTAATGAGTGTTGCGGGGGTGGGAAACGGTGGCAGGAAAGACCAAATGCCGGGAGCCGGAGGAATGACAGCCTGGGAGGGATTGCGTGAGCTCCCAGAACCTGCGGCGTGACCTGTTCATTCACGGAGCCGCAGCCTGCACCCGGCGTCGAACCTTGGCTCCCCCCAGCGCCCCAGGAGTGGGGGAGGCGGCTTCAGCGTTCACCAGCCCCTCTCCTCGGGCTTCCCCAGCACAGCTAGGTAGCAGCTGCCCCAACTTCTGGCCCTGGGGGAGCCTGGGGCATTTGACAGATTGTTGTAAGAGAGTAAGTTAGGGCAGCCTTTTCCCACCTTCAAAGAAGACTCTGGATTCTACCACACCCATCCCTCAGTCTTGTGTGCTGCCCAGTAAGCTGAACCTCCTTAAATATGTAAGGAACTCTTGCAATCCCAAAAACTGTTTCGTTGTAGGCAAGTTGGTTTTTCCATTCTTTACTAAGGTCTTTTTGCCTGGATTTGTAGTCAAATAGTTAGTATTTATTGAGTCCATAATCTGTGTATCACTGTTAATGTTCCCGGCAGTCCTGCTGTCCATTTCATGAATGGGTCAGATTTGTTGTAGAGTGGTAACAATGTAAATAAGTGGTAGCATACTTGAGCCCTGGCACACCTCAGTTGTCAAGGAATATGGAAGTGATTCCCCAAAGAATTCTTCCAGTATTCCAGAATTTGGGTTTCATCCGTCCCCTTCAGCCTGTCTGGGGATCTAACGTACCCTCCTCTATCCATCTAAGTTTAATCTTCATTTACTCAGTGGCTTGCTCGCCAATATTGTCGCCATTTGACGGACGAAGGCACTTAGGCAGGCAGATGACTTGCTCAGGGTCATGTAACCAGAAAATCCTGCAGTCAGCTTTTCAATCCAGTCTTCAAGCCCCAAGCCCAGAGTTTGGTTTTGGTTTTGGTTTTGTGTTTATTTGTTTTGGTTTTCGTTTCATTTTGCTTTGTTTGCACTAATAAGAATGTCCCCTGTGTCTATGTAGCATAAATGGTGGAGGCAATGTGAGAAGTTCTGAAAGTTCAGCCCAGGGTCCGAGAGGAGGGGGCTGAGAAAGTAAATCCTTTCTTTACTGAAGATAGGGAGAAGAAATTCAGGAGCCCTGATACCAGGGTTTGGTTCCCTCTAGCTACTCCCTCGGGGTGGGGGTGGGGGAGCTGGCTCTCTGTGTCCTGTCTTCACAGCAGGGCTACATTCCTGGAGACCCCAGGCTGATGGGGATCTGGGCAGGAACCGCGAAAACTAGCTAGCGAGGGGCTCCCATCCTTTCCACAGCCGGCACCGCGCTCGGCATCTGGGCGGCTCACTGGAGGATGGCTGCCCCTCTCGCCCCATGCAAAAGAGGGGCTCGGCCTGGGCTGGTTTCCTGCCTGTGCAGGTAAAGTCAGACCCCCATCTGCTCAGCCCCAGGCCCAGCTTATGAAAGGTCCTGCCCTGCACCCCCCTCCCCCGCCCGCACCATGTGAACGTAGAGGGAAGTCTGGGCTGACATGGATCAAAGCAGTACGTATTGATCATGTTGTCTTTCAGTGCATTCCTGAGGCTTCTGTTAACGAGGGGGAATATGCCCCTGTTCTGTGGGTGCAGCTGCTTCCCCCCTCTGTGAGCCAGCTGGGTTAGGGAAGCACCTTGAACCTAGAAAATGCACCTGCCCAGGAGGCTGTGAGAGGCACTGTGGCCTCTCTGCTTGGGAACCAGGGTACCATCTAGCTGTGCTCCTTCGCTTCTCGCAGCCCCTGGTTTTGACTGCTTCTGGATTGCATGTGGTCCCCCACCTGCAAGAATAGATAGAAGACGACTTAAAGCCTTAGGTGATAGGGCAGGCAGAGGGCTAGACTGAGAACAGTTTCACTTGGCCGTCTCCCTTGGAGAGAGCTGCAGAGCGGCCGTGCTCTGGCAAGGCTTGCATCAGCAGCTGAGGATTAGGGAGCAGGCCCTGGATCCGGATTGGGACACCTGAGTTCTGGTCTCCTCTCTGCCGAGGATTAGCCGTGTGACAAATCCTAAGATAGCTCCGAACCTGGGTTTCTTCAGTGATAAAGGAAATGGACTAGAAAGTTCCTTGCAGCTCTTGGAACATAATTTCCGCCCCTTCTCAGATATATGGCTCTGTGAAGAAAGTTGATACTTTGGGATAGTAGCCAAGCCTTGGAAACGGGCCACGAAGTTGAGGAGAGAATGCTTTCCTTCAGTTGAATCTAGTGATCCACAGTGCCAGACCCGAGCAGATCCGGCTGCGTTTTCCAAGCCACTGGAAAGCCCCGTAGATCACGGAACGTTAAAGCTCAAAGAGCCCTTGGAGGGTATCAGGACTTAACCTCTTATTTTACAGGTGTCGTTCATGAAGCTCACAGAGGCCCAGTGAGTTACCCACAGCCACCTGGCTAGTTAAAGTCAGAGTCTGTCCCTTCTGAGGCCAGCCCCTCCATCGAGATGACGTTGGATGACTCATTGGCATTTAAACCTGGGGCTTGAAGATAATTCCACACGCCTGTCTCTCTGGTCTGGTGTGCAGGTGCTAGATTGTGAAAAAGATGGCTCTCTATCACAAGCTGGTGTGCCAGCCCGACCTCTAATGGGAAGTGGAAAAAATGGTCATCTAAGAGCCTGACTGGATTAGGACCTGGAACCACCGCCCCCGGCCAGGATAACTGGGCCACTCCCCACCCTGATGTGCAGTAAGTCCCTAAGGCATTATCCTGAGCAGCCACTAGATGTCCATAACGCTCCACAGGGTGTGCTGTGAGGAGCAGGGCACCATCTTGCCTCCAGCAGGCTTGTGGGTCCCTGAGCTGAGGTCCCTCAATGGCAGGAACAGAACAAGCACCAAAACACCAAGAGGATTTGCCAACCAGGAAGAAAGGGAAAAAAAATAGTCACGCAGAAATTATGCTCCACAAAGGAAAGGAAAGATACTGGTTGGTGAATGACAGTGACAAAGCCATCTAAACGGGCAGTGTGGACAGTCACCCCTTCCCCTTGCCACATTGAGCTTCCTTGCCTTGTTTCTGTCTCCCACACTACTGCACACTTCGCATGCACGCGCACCTCTCCAGGGTGACCTGGTCGTGTAACAGATTCCGTTACTGCTGCACAAGAGGTTCCTTTTCT